CATATACATGTGTGTATGTATTCCCTCTATATAAATGGCAGTATACTCTAATGTTTTCACCTTACTTTATTCACTTAAGAATTTGATATTTCTACATATAAGTTTAACTCATACAAAGCCCTCTTTAAAAATTAGCTATTTAGTCTCCATACTATTCCATTTTATAGATATACTATAATTCATTTAACTGGTTCTTGATTGAGAGGCATTTAGGTAGATTCCAATCACCCCTGCAATGACCTGCAAAGAAAACTCTCATGTACTACAAGCAACTAATGACTGGACAGTGCATAAGCTATTTTTAGGTGTTAACATAATTTTAGTTCATCTTATCTAAACAGAATAGTAGTTTCAAAGGTCCATGAAGAAAAAACAATACTAATTCTTCAGCTACAATCAAAGGTTATTTTAAAGTCAACAAAGATGCATTTATACCTAGAAAGAATTCTATACCATATTAGCTCTTATATTAAAGGTGAAAATGCAATGAAAAACTTCTAAAAATTAACTTTCAATCACTAACATCCAATTACTGTTAATGCTATGAAAACTACCAGTTGACAATTATAAACTTATCCTCCTCTCTTCAGCTAACTTTAAATTTTGTCCTACAGAAAACCAGACTAGAAAGAACTTGGAACCTATATGGATTTGGTTTTCAAATAAAAATAGGAAGTCCTTTAAAAAGGGGACAATCAGAGGGGTGCCTGGGTGGCGAGTTTGTTGTCTGGATTTCAGCCAGGCATTCGGCCCTGAGCTCGTGAAAATTTCTGGCTAGGCTCTGGGGCGATGGCCCAGAGCCTGGAGCCTGTTTCCTCTGTGTCTCCCTCTCTGCCCTCCCCGTTCATGCTCTGTCTCTCTCTGTCCCAAAAATAAAAAAAAAAAAACGTTGAAAAAAAAAAATTAAAAAAAAAAAGGGGACAATCAGCAATACAACTTCATTGAAAACCAAATGTACATAATTAGAGGAATTTAGTTTTTTATTATTTACTTTTAAGTAAACTGTACATCCAACATGGGGCTCAAACTTACAACCCCAAGATCAAGAGTCACATGCTCTACCAAATGAGTCAGCCAGGTGCCCCTAGGGGAACTTATTTTTAAAAGGAGGTACTAGCTCCTTAAAGAAACCAATTCCTTATCAACAGCTGGATGAATGCTATTAGTGTTTTCCCATTTTCCTGTTTTAGTGCCCTAGTTCCACCTTCCTCCAATTTCCTGATAATGGTTTAGTGGAACTCTGATCCCAAGACAAACTGAAATAAAAAATAAGATAAAAAACAAAACATTTTTTTTTTTTGTTTTTAGTGATTATTTATTTTTGAGAGAGAGAGAGAGAGAGAGAGAGAGAGAGACAGAGAGAGAGAAACAAAGCATGAGCAAGGGAGGGGTAGAGACAGAGAGGGAGCCACAGAATCCAAAGCAGGCTCCAGGCTCTGAGCTGTCAGTACAGAGCCCAACGTGGGGCTTGAACCCATGACCTGAGCTGAAGTCAGATGCTTAAATGACTGAGCCACCAAGGTGTCCCTCTTTTTTTTTAAGTTAAAAAAATTTACTTTTACAAACCCTTGTGTAGAGGGCTTTCAATAGAACACAGCTAGGGAGCTGCTTTGCTATGTAGGAAACCTGGACCCAGAAGCAGGTCACCTACGAATGGTTTAGCACCAGGTTCCCCACCAAAGTGCACTGCGTGAGGGGTGAGGGGTGGTCCCCTCTCCAGCCGACCCGTTTCCTGACCTAGGGGCTCTCTGTACCCCACCGGTCCTGACCCCAGGCTGTATTGCTCCATCTGGGCGGGATTCTGACATAGACACATTTAATCATAATCCCACAGATGGCAGCTTTGTCCCATTGGCTCCTCAGCCAAACACTCAACAATTTTTAATAAAACAGCTTCAGAAGAACACTATATCACCCCAGTGCTAAAAACTTGACTCCAATAGTAGTATTCCACAGTCAGCAGTGCTATCAGATCAGCTACAACAACAAGGCTGCAGTGGCCTGAGAGCTGTACCTTAGTCCCCTTCCTCTTTCTGGTGAATTTATTTTCCTGGCATCCTAGTCTCCTCCTGGAATTAGAGCTCAGCCTTGAAATCCCAGTGTGAGATGGGAATGTAGCCTCACCAACTGTGATGATATGTCAAGGCACTGTTCTAAGTGCCAATGCAAGAGACAAAAATCCCTTTTCTTATAGAGGATGAATGCCTGACACAGTTGACTGGTATTTGTCCTTCAAATTCTTCACTATTCTGCCCTATACATTTTGGAATATCTTGACAATCTCTCTGGTGTTCCCTCCTGGCAGACAATTGCTGAGATGTGCCAGGTTTATGAACCCCCTAGGTATAGCTCCTTATTTACCTACCTGAACCTTTGTTATCAGCCTAAACTGCTCTATTAAGCAGACCAAGTGCCAAGTTTTTGTCATTCACCATCTGATTTGCTTTGTTGTATGTGAGTCATGGATGAAGTGATGTCTTTGGGAAGACTGCTTAGAGTTGAGTTTTAAGTGTTGCTTCAAGTATGATTTTATCTTAAGACTGTCTAATAGGGTAGCCACTAGCCACATGTGGCTATTGAACACCTAAAAGTGGCTGGTTGAAAATGGTGTGTGCTTCAAGTGTAAAATACACTTGAATTTCAAAGAATCAGTATAAAGAGAAAGAAAAAGAGAAAGAAGTCTCAATAATTTTGAAAAGTATCGAATTAAACTTGAAGTGTCAATATATCTTTGCTAAATAAAATAGATTATTAAAATTAATTTTAGCTATTTCTTACTTTTTAAAATGTGGCTACTAGATAATTTTAAATTACATGTCATTTGCATTGTATTTCTATTGAATTGTGCCCCTTTAGAACATTTAGCTAATGGCAGCAACAATAGAGTCATTAGTTTGAGAGATCTGCTTGCCTATCTACCTATCATAAGAATACCTAAAAATGAAAGTTCTTTGCAGAAAAACTGCCAGCTAATAAATGTTGAAGGAATACTAAATAAATAAGATCAACACCATTTTGCAATCCCCAACAGAATAACTCATTAAGTAAGCATCATCAATGGATGCTAAAACCATTAACAAAAGTTTGCTGTTCATCCAGTGACAAAATGACACCCTACAGATTATTTACAAATTGCAAAGACAAGATCCAGTGGTTCTTACTTTAACAAATGATCAAACTTAGCATATGAACAGTGCTACAACCTGACATTACATAAACCTTGATACATGAGGTAAACGTTACTCACAAAGCATTTTGCCCCAATGTTTGTGAACATTTTCAAACATACAGAAACAAAGAAGAAATTTTATGATGAAAATCTATACTCATATCATATAACATTGTACTCATTTACTTTATCACATTATCTACCTCCTTATCTATTTTGATGCATTTCAAAGTATATTGTAGACATTACTACATGCCCTCTCTAAATAATCTATGAAGTATTCTTGCCAAAAATGTTTAATTTGAATCTAATCAAGCCTCTAATCCTAACTTGTAGTTTACAGGAAATACAGGCACTAGAGAGGAATAATTTAATTGACCCTAAGAGGAAAGAGAAAAATGCAGAATATGGGACATTCTGTAAGGTTAGAGAGTTTAAAAAGTTTATGTTATGAAAAAAAAAAAAAAAGTTTGAGTGACCAGACTTAAGAGTCTAAAGAGATATGACAAATTCCAATTTGTCAACCTAAATCAGATACTATTTGATTAAAAAAAAAAAGACATTCTTGCAACTAGAGAAATAGGAATATAAACTAGATGTTTGTATCTATTATATAACCATAGGGGCTGTGGTTATTCAGGCGATTATTCTTTTATTCAGGAGAGGAATGCTGAAGAGAAAGACAGGTGTATACATGCATATACATAAATAGATTTTTAAATTTATTCATTTATTTTACAGGGATAAAGCAAATACAGCAAAATGTTAACAATTATTGTATTTAAAAAGAGGGTAAACAGGTGTTCACTGTGTTGGTCTTTCAACTTTTCTGTACATCTGAAACATTTCAAAATAGAAACTGGGGGAGGGTAGATAAAAAAAAAAAATCCATTGCAGAGATGTTGATATGGTCTGTCTATTTTATCCTGCCTGGGCCTTTCAGATCAGGAATGTGATCTTTAAAAAAACAAAAACAAAAAACTTACCACTCAAATACACATAAATATGTTTTGCAACAGTATTTCTACCTCAGAGTCAATACTATTATTAGCTAAGTCTTTAATATGCAATATTCCAACTGATGATTTAACCTATAATAAGCAATGGCTTTAATGCTGTGCTATTACAGAATACAGCTCAATCACAAGGCTAACCTTGAGATCAGGCTCGCTGCCACCAGTCTGTGTAGTGTGTAGATTGATACAGGCTGTCATACAACATCAGACTCTATATACCATTTGTCAAGGGTACCCTACAACAGATCTTGCCTACTCCTGGCAATTTCAGACATAAAGGTTCTCGCGATCTTTTTTCCTTCAGATTTCATTCTACTTTCCAACCTATTACTGCTGCCAAAGTCATCAGGGCAGTTTCAATCTAAAGTCCAAAGACATGCTCATCATCCAGGTAATTAGAAATAGAAGATCATTAGCAGAGATCACTGGATACAGTATAGAATAAACTAAATAAAAGTATGAAATTAACATTATTAACTAAAGTAACATTTAGAAAAAAAATAGATATGGAATCTTATGTGTGAACCTATAGTTGAAAAAAGAAATCAGCCACTGCTGCTTTCAAACTATGGTTAGAAAAAGCATATAACCTGGAAACAAAGAGGTGCCTTGGAGGAAGGAGTGAAAAGGACTAGTATTAGACACTAAACTAAAAACTGATATAATCAGGGCTTAGGTTTTACAGTTTAGAAGGAAAAAGGAACAACAGGAAAGTATGAAACTACCTTAGTGAAGACAAGTCAGCATACAAATTTAAAAAAGTAATTAATTATAGTCTTGTTTCAGATGCAATAAAATAAGGAAATGATATTTACCAGGGTTTGTCTTCTCAAGTTGATACCATCTGTAAAATGCTCTTTTCTTCTGTTCGCTCAGGTCTGATCCCTGCTGCAACAGCCAATGAGAGATCCGGCTCTGACTGATCCCTGTGTAGAAAGAGAAACAGCTGTTGCGGGTACTGAAATTACAGGGAAGCTGAGGGCTATGTCGGTCCTAGGTTAGTGGGTGCTTTATTCTCTGTGTTACTCTATAAGGAAGCAACTCGAGCAAACTCTCTCCTGATAAGACTTCTTTGTAAAGGCTGACTGCCCGCCCTGGCTAGAATATACTCAGCAATGATCTACTAGAGGTGAAAGCATTTTATTAACTGAGACTTGAAAGTGGTCTCTAAAATTAATCTATAAGCTAGGTTCATGTGAGATAAATGAAGAGATTCCTAATTAATAGTTCTATGTCAGAGGTCTATTAGATTTGTGCTCCTTCTATCACCACCTATACCCCAATCCTGGTTGAGAATATTAGAACTTTTACCTGATACTGAGAAGAAAAACAAAAAATGAAGCCAGCAAGTTTTGCTATTCATTATAAATACTGATGAAAAAGATTTAGGGACTGAGAAAGGAGAGGTCATGAAAACCTTTTCAATAAGGTTTCTGGCTTATTTGTTAATTTACGTAGGTGTTTTCAGACGTGTTACTATTAGTACAGGTAATGAAGAATTGAAAGAATTTTAGAATTAAGCTGCAGGATGACCTCTTAAGAAATCTCAAGAGGTAAAGACATTCTTCTAAGACACAGACTTATAACAGTAAAAAAAGTGAATAGAATATAAAGCAGTAGTTTTCAACTACCTCCAAAAAGTTCCTGACAGCAATTAATTAGAAATGTGAAAAACGTCCACATCTGAAAGTAAAAACACATGTCTAAAACTTACTAGTATGAGAATCATGCTTCTTCTGGTCATTGTAGCTATTCCAAAATGAATAATTCAATATACAACTGGCAAAAGCAAAGAATAATAGGAAAGATAAAACTCTCTTATACACTCATAAGGCATCTTCCAGAAGACCCCTCAGTTCTCACAAAGGGTTAACAGTATCTAAATTCTCCCAAGGAATTACTTATGGTAACTGGATAGTACCGAATGCCACCTGTGCCAACACCTGTTTAAAACCATAAGGTACAATAGGAAGGGTGCTATCATGGAAGTAATCACACCTCCTAACATGAGAAGAAGCTGGAGGTCTGGTGATCACATTTAACTCATTAAAAGCAAGCCCCTGGAGTTTCATACTTTAAAAACCAATGTTAATAGAATATTTCAGGAAACCAGGGAAAGGAGATTTGTTAAAAGAAAGGTTGGGGTTCGAAGAAAATTTCTCTGATTGGAAATACCCTTCACTTTCAAGGGTGAAAGTCAAATAGGTTCTAAAACCTAAGTGATTACATTATCAAGTAATTCACAGTAGTTTTCCAGTGGACTGAAGATGTATGTGATGCAGGTGTTGGCAGCTAGTACTGTATGCTTGTTCTAAGAGAATGCAAATTATTCTGGATAATTAAATTGGCTGTGTTTAGCAATGCTTTCACCAAAAGTCTAGTTTCAGATATTATACTACCTTTTACACTACTTTTAAACAAGATGAAAAAAACAACCATTTTCCACTATGAAATCAAAATTGGTTTTCAGGTCATAAAACGAAAATATTTAATATGGATTCTTCATATTGGCACCATACTACTCGAAACCAGAGGTAATTTGAGAAAAATCTGTTGAGAAAATAAAAAAAAGAATATACAGAGATTCTGAAACTTTCAGTATTAAATCTGCACACAGATCACAGAGCCAGTAGATATTGGAACTGTCCAGGTTCTGGTGGTGCTGTAGTGGAGGAAGAGGGAAAAAGCCCATCAAAGGAGATTAAATTATGATCTAGTCACATAATAAAATATTGGGCAGACTTTTTTTTTAATGTTTATTTATTTTTGAGAGAGAAAAAAAGAGAGAGACAGAGCATGAGTCAGGAAGGGGCAGAGAGAGCCAGAGACACAGAATCCAAGGCAGTCTCCAGGCTTGGAGCTGTGAGCACAGAGCCCGCCATGGGGCTCAAACTCACGAACTGCAAGATCATGACCTGAGCTGAAGTTGGTGCTCAACTGACTGAGTCACCCAGGTGCCCCTGGGCAGACTTTTAAAAATATTCAAAAACAGCCATCAAAAACAAATAATAACAAACCAAACAAACAAAAAGGCATCAATACCAAATGGCTGGCAACAACATACAATATATGGAACTCTCATACTGCTGATGGAAGGGTAAGAAGTCAGGGCCACTTTGGAAAACAACTGGGCAGTATCTACTAAAGGTGAATAAATGCATACCGCATGACCTAGTAATTTCTTTCCTTGATATACAGCAATTTGTACATACTCAATAGAAGTATGTGCAAAAGGCATGTACATCTTGTACATGTACAGACCCACAGGAGCATTTATTCATAATGATCCCCAATCTGAAACAACTCAAATGCCTATCAACAGGAGAATACATAAAAATAATGATTTATACATTCAACTAGAGACTACCATACCAAATAGCAAAAGGATAAACAAACCACTGCTATATGCAACCATATGAATAAATCTCACAAAAATAATATAGGCCAAAAAAAGTTAGATGCACATAAAAAAGTCACACACAACTATATGACTCAATGCATATACAGCTAAAAAACAGACACAATTTATCTATATGGGTGGCAATCAGAATAGTGGTTACCTACAGTTAGGAGGGGCAGTATAAAGGGTTATGTAGTGATTGGCATCATTACTGATCTTGATCTGGGTGACAGTTATATGTGTATATTCACTTTATAGAAATCATTAAGCTGGACACTTTTTACTGAATATTTCAATTAAAAAAAAGTTTGCCCCAAACATTTTCAAAATTGTAGGCAATGTTTAAAAGAATACATTGATATGTATCGATACAGAAAGATGCCCATGAATAAATGAAAAAGTACATAGTTTTATGAATATGTTTTTACATAATCTACATTGTTTTGTGAAGTAACAAAACCTTATATATAGAAAGATACACAATAGGAATTCAGAGTGGCATATTTTTCATACATTGTATACCTCTACATTATTTTCTTAATCTTTCTACAAATATGTATTAGTTTATTTTATATTTAGCCTTTCCTTATAAACACTACATACTTTGTTGGTTGCTTTAAAAACACTGTAATGATGCTAAACAACAGAGAAGTGCAAAAAGAAGTTAATTTCAGCCTTCCCTCACCAATTCCACTGAGGTAAGTAATGTTAACTGTTAATTTATGTTGTTCCACAATTTTCTCCATATGTAATTATTAATTTATAAAACAAAAGAAGATAATAAAGAATATCCTCCTGTCTAGTCTTTTATGTGTGCAGATAATAAACAAAGAACTTCTTCCCTGTAAATTTAATTCGTTTTCATATACTAAATACAGAAAACAAAGTAATAAAGCAAGTAGTTTTTTCCAGAAGAGGTACTACAAAAGCTGAGTATGTACAATAACACATTTCACAGTCATTTTTCTTGGTTAGCAGCTTGCTGATAGGTGAGGTTCCTGTAACATGCATCCTTCTGTGGCTGGTCCATGCCTTTGGTCCATGGTTCAGTTGAGTTGGTCCATGCTTCAACTGAGGTAGGTGTCAGAAAGCCCTGCTGCTTTTGTCTGCTTTGGTACTCCTTCTTGGGAGAAAAACTCCCTAACTCCCCTCCCACTGCTGAAAAAAATAAAAAGTCATTCTCCACATGTTTTAGCTCCTCATAACCCCTTCTCCACCTTTCACAGGGCAGAAGAAAGGAAAAATTTACATATAACTTTCATACACTCAGAGACTACAACTAACCCCCATTAATTTCTTTCCAATAAGAAAGTGATGGATCACAAAGGACAAAAAAATGCCAGTCTCATGCACATTCTTTTCTGAGCTTCAGCTTTGTCATGCTCCTTCCAGTTCCTCAAATGCCACGCTCCCTTCCACTAGAGGGCTCTCTACCACAACCCAATCTGGTCAAAATCCCTAATGCTACAATTTAAATGTTCTCTCTTCCTTCCGCTTCCTGTGGAAAGCCACAACTACTGACCACTCCCATCATCTTCATCTTTGAAATGCCAGATACAACTGCCCAGTGCGAGTTTTCAGTCAGCTTCAGGGACTGCTTTGCTAGCTCCTTAAATGCTAGTGTCCCAAGGGTTCCATCTCTAAGAATATTCTCTTACTCTACACAGTCTTCCTTTGGTCATCTCAACTGTCAATAATTGTGACGTTAAAATTCTAAGTGTCGATGACTTCCAGAGCACCAGACTGTTATTTCAACCATCTGCTAGATAGTTTCATGAAATTTTGCCACAGGTATTCAATATCATTAATTTAATTCATTATCCTCCTCCTTTAAATCTGCTCTTCTTCTGTGTCCCCCCCCATCTCAATTTTACCTACCATTCTATTCTTTCCTCCAAATCTCACATGCTTACTATATCCAATCACTTCTTAAAATTCTCTTTATGTTCTCTCTAATTCTCATGTCTGCAGTTTGGAATCTCACCCCCTTTTGCCTGGAGAATTGAAACAACTTTGATACAAGAACAAGCCATCTAAGATCCACAAAGTACAAAATCCTCATGATCAGATCTTTTTTATTACAAGATCATTGCCAGTTGAAAAAGTAAAATGTGATTCTTCAAGTCATCTCTATAATTTACCTTCCACAGTGTAACCAGAGTTGTATCTCAAAAGTTTTAAGTTAAAGCACATTCTCCATAGGGGCGCCTGGGTGGCTGAGTCAGTTAAGCATCCGTCTTCAGCTCAGGTCATGATCTCACAGTTTGTGAGTTCGAGCCCCACGTCGGGCTCTGTGCTGACAGCTCAGAGCCTGGAACCTGCTTCAGATTCTGTGTCGCCCCTTCTCTCTGCCCCTTCCCTGCTCATGCTCTGTGTCTCTCTGTCTCTCAATAGTAAATAAATGTTAACAAAAATAAAATAAAAAACGCATTCTCCATAAAAATAATTCACTAACATGCAGAAAAAAGTCCATCCTCCATCTCAACTTATCTCTTATTCCCTATCCTAGAAATATCCTTGTTTATT